AGAGAGGTGAAGTGATTTGCTCTGGACTTTACTTCTTGTCCATCCTGGAGCCGTATAGGGATGGCGTGCCTTGTGAGGGTGCAGTGGAATGTGTGTCTTTGGAGCCTTCCCTCCCTGGTTCTCAGTGTTCCTGCAGCACTTGGAAGGCTGCTCCTGCTATCTTAGTACCTTTCCTACCAGCTGTGGATTGTCCCAGCCGCACTGAGTGCGCATGGTTGGGGATCGCTTAAGTGAGTACCCGGTCACTTTCCAAGGGCATGTTGAGTCCTGCAAGTGGCAGCAGGTGATGTACTTTGAGCAGCAGAGATAGTGAGAACTTACAGAGCTATGATCGCCACAGAAAAGATAAATAACATGGTTACTAGAAGGAGTTATGAAGAACATCCAAGCCGTATAATCAAATCCTAATCTAAATGGTAAGAGAGGTTGAGATTTGAAATTATGGAAATATTGGAAATTTGATAAAGAAAACCCCTTAAGTGGCCTTTTAATGTGTGACATGAAATAACTTGGAGAGCAGAAGAGTGTTCCTTGCCTTTCTTTCAAAATAAAACTCCCCTGCCACCTACCCCTGATGCAGATGCAGAGATAAGTAGTGATAGATGCTTTTTCCAAAATACATTAAAGGAGTAGCAGCTCTGTTAAAATTGCTTTTCTTTCTTAATATTTCACTTTGATTTTTATCTTTCTGTCCATTTCTCACTCCCATCTTCTATTCTCATCTCACCGATTGGCCATCCGTATACTTATATGTGCAGGTGGGGGACTCAGTCTCATTACCCTTTTTCAGTGTTCCAAGAGCTTTTGACTTCCATCCTCTGGCAAAATGATGGTGCCTTATTATTCCCTAGCTCTCACTCCAGTCGAAGTCTCTACTCTAATTTGGTTGATTTGAGCCTTCTCGTCTACTTACCCCATTCCCCATACCATTTTCTATCCTTTTCATCTGCCTTTCCTTTACAGATCATAAATATATCCTCACCAGTTGCTTCAAAGTTATCTTTGTCTTGGAGTTCCATCATTTTGCAGTTTTTCTAGGTGTGGCTTTCATTTTATCTATCCTGCTTGGGATTCATTGCAATTCCTGAGCCTAAAGATTCATGTTTTCCATCAAGTCAAAAAAATTATTTTCCTATATTGACCTTCTGATTTTTTGTTGGAACTTCTAATTCTTTCCTCATGTCTTTTAATACTTTTTTTTCTGTTTTCGCTCTTAAACTCTTTGTACTGCATTTGAGCACTTTTCTGAAGTCTGTTTTGTTTTTTTTTTTAAGATTTTATTTATTTATTTGACAGAGAGAGACACAGCGAGAGAGGAAACACAAGCAGGGGGGAGTGGGAGAGGGAGAAGCAGGCTTCCCGCCGAGCAGGGAGCCCGATGCGAGGCTTGATCATGACCTGAGCCAAAGGCAGACGCTTAACGACTGAGCCACCCAGGCGCCCCTGAAGTCTGTTTTTTAAATCTCTTTCCAGTTTATTGTTTGTTTATTCAGTGGGGTCTGTCTAATCAGTGTTTATCTGTCCCTGAGTTTTCGATTTCGACTCTTCTATTTTTTTTTAACAATAATTGAAAGAATAATTTTATCAGCTTTGACGAAGTGTTACGTGGTTCTTGTAAAATCTGACTTTAAAATCTTTTTATTCTTTTATCATGTTTTCAGTTCCCACTTTTATATCAGTAGTCTTTGTAAACATTTTTAGTTTGAACTGGATCTATCTAATAGTTCTGTTACCTGGAATTCTTGGTAGTGGTGGAGGGGCGGGGTGGGGCATTCCTCGTCCCTGTGTCTACTGATCCTTGTTCATGGCAGACAGTTTGAGTGTATTGTGATTTGGGATTGTGAGTTTTTCTTCGGAGCTATTTCTTTGTTTTGTTTTATTTTGTTTTGGTGGTGTCCAGTACAGGCTGAGGTTGAGTTTCTGCCCCTCCAGAGAGGTTTTGTGTATACTTTTGTCAGGGGTCCCAGGATTATCACTGGCCTGGGCCACTTTTTAGCTTCTCATTTAGAGGGACAGACCATCCAGTAGTGGCTTAATCTGAGCTTCAAACCTACATGAAGTGGGCCTGTGGCTATCAATTCTCAGGGAGGCTTTTTTCCCCCATATTCACAGAGATTCAGGCTGAGACAGACAAGCTTCTTAACTGTCTCCTTGTGCCCTTGGAGCACTTTCCCCCAGTCTGCTCTTCACAGAGGGACTGGTCTTTTGCGAGTTCCAGCTTTATGTGGGAGTCTCAGTTCCCATTCTCTCACCCATACTTGAGAGCTTGTTTGGAGGTTCCAGCAGGGGAGCGCAGCTACTTGTATACCCTTGACCGAAGAACGGTCCTCCTCTATCGGGGAAGGTCGTCCTCTTCGACCGAGCGTGCAGCTTCGGGAGGGACGCACATGGAGTGGTGAGGGAGGAAGGGGATACCCGCCTAGCCAGCCAGATCAGCCGAATCAACCCTGGCGATCAATGGGGTGACAGATGTCGCAGCCAGATCGCCCTCACATCCTCTCTCACCCATACTTCATGAAGGCCCTGGGGCTTCTTCTGAACCACATGGATTTACAGTCCAAATCCTGTGTTACCGAGGCTGGTGAGCTGCTCTCCTCTTGGGGCTGCTAGCATCAGTTCAGAGGCTTGGTTCTGGTTTTCAGGTCCCTGTGAGTTTGACCCTGGAAAATTCCTTATTTTCTTGAGAACTCAGCTATGCATTTTAAAAGATATTTATTATATTATACCCAGAATTTTTAAGCTTTTAATAGCAAAAGATTTTTTTAAAAAGAGATCTATTCTGCCAAGAGCACGTCATCATGATCCTCTGATGGTTGTCTGCTAGAGGGTCGAAGAGGCCTGTCCACATCCAAAGAGCAGTATGCAAAAGGGGCCTCTGCCCTTAAGAAGTTCATAGATTTTTTTTGTCTAACTCAATTCATAGAGTCTGAGGACTATTTGTTTAGTCTTTCACTCTATCATCTTTACCTTCAAATCACATTCAATAGTTAGTAAATTCCCACTATCCAGGCTTTCATTCATTTATTCAGCAAATATATATTGTGTACAGCATTGCTACATGCCAGGTATGTGCTCATTGTGCTCAGCAAAAACATACCCGATCCCCGTCTACGTAAATAAATGTGAAATTGTAAATGGAACAAGTGCCAGAAAGCAAACGTGCATATGGTGCGGTGAGATGTGATGATTCATTCAGCTCAGGCCAGGAAGGGCTTAATTGGGGAAGTGAAATAAACAAGAATAGCTTCCACTGAGTGAAAAGGGGAGTGATAATTGTGCCAGATGCAGCACAGTATGTGCAAAGGCCCTGGGGTGAGGATGAAGGACTAAAAGAAGGGTGGTGAGATGAAGGGGAGAAGTGAGAAGAATATGGTTCCAGAAAAGGCTGAGAGGGAGCTAGGAGTCAAAGCATGGAAGACCTTGTGGGCTGTGTTAAGGAGCTTTTCTGTTTATCATAAGTGCTATTGAAGGGCTTTAAACCGGGGAATGACACATATAATTTGGCCTTTGAAAAGATCTTTCTCACTTTAGAGAGGAGAACGGATTTGAGAAAGCAAGAATGACAAGACGATTGTCAGTAGACCAGATTGAGAGTTGCTGGCAGCTCAACTTCAATTTTGGGTTTGTAGACATGAAGGTATGGACAGATTTGAGATTTACTTAGCAAATAAAATTATCAGGAAGAAACAGAGTTTCTGGCTTATATAACTGGATGGCTAGTGATGTTCCTTTAGTGAAATTGGAACCACTGGATAAGGACAAGGATTAGTGGAAAGGCCATGGCTTTTTCTTTTATACAGATTGGGTTTGAGGTTTTTGAAACATCTAAGAGGAAAATATCAAGAAGCAATTGGATATATGGATCCAGAGCCCAGAGAAGAGATCTGGGGTTATAAATACATGAGGATTTGCTTATAAGTGTTTATCAGATGAGCTTTCCAATGGAGAGATGATGGATATCTATTGGATATGGAGACATGCAGGTTACTAGTGACCTTAACAGGAGCTGTTTTGATGGTAAGATGGGGTGAGTAGGATGTAGAGCATGTAGAAGATGAGAAAACGGAATAAGTGAGTTTAGACAACTTTCAGGAAGTTTGCCAGTGAAGTTATATAAGGCTTGCATTCATTTTTAAAAGAAATATGTCACTTAATTATGATTGGAAGGTAAAATCTTTTAAAATGGAGACTCAATAGAAAAAAATTTAAAATAGTTTCTTCATAGTGAAAAGGTGGTCAAGACCGAGACCTACATTGGCACAGAGGGGAACCAGAGACGATCAACCAGTACTGAAGTGTAATAATAGCTAGCATTTATTGAGCTCTCACTATTGTTCCAGGTGTCATTCTAAATGCTTATAACATGTATTAACTAACTTAATCTCTGTAACAACTCTGTGAGGTAGGTACGCATTAGCCCCTGCAGGACACAAGGAAACCAGTTACAGAGAGGTGCTGTAACTTGCCAGGGTAGGACAACAGGGATTTGGACCCAGATAGTCTGACTGTGGAGTTCGTGTTCTTAAACACTATGCTATCCTGCTTCTCAATACATGGGTGCATAATAAGATATTTGTATCATCTATGAGCCTAGGTATGGGCCTCTCCATCTAACTATTGAAAATATTGTTGGTTGTATAATGACTTTGGGACAAAAGTACAACTAATGTTCACTTAAATATTTTGTTAAAACTTTCTTGGCTTTATGTTCTAGAACAAGGCACGCATAAATGGAAATGTTATTAGATCAGCTTTAGCTTTAATCAGTGGCCTTTAATAAATGTGTGCACATTATTCATTTAATTGCACCTGTTATCTATGTGGTAGCCTCATAGCTGAGGGTATAACAGGTAAGTAAGCAGAATTCACCACATTCTGAAGCCACCTGCCAAGGTGTGTATTTGTGAGTGTCCGTTAACCCATGTCCTAAAATACATGACCTTTTCCAGATTCCTGGGGATTGGCTTTAATGACATGTGTGTGTTTATTCTCCTCCTAAGGATTTAACAACACTGAGAGGACATGCGACAAAGAGTTTATTATTCGGAGAACAGCCACCAATCGAGTCCTGAACGTCCTCCGTCACTGGGTCTCAAAGCACGCACAGGTAATTCAGTGGTAACGTTAATTGCTTTCAAGGAATTTTTTTTTAAACCAACTTTTTAAGTCGTTAACATTTGTAAAATGCCTTCTGAGCCTTTGGAGTTAGGGTCTGAAACCTTGGAATTAGAACAGAAAGGGAAGAAATGGGACAGACATACAGATCAAAGCAAACACGTGCATGTTTGCCAAATATCCACTGTATCAGATCTGACGTGACACAGGAGGTGAAGCCCGGCCCCTCTTTCCTCATCTTTTGAGGCAATGGCACCCACCTGAGGCGCTAGGGCCACTGTACTGTGCCCCCCAGGGAGCGCCATTCATAGGGCCCTCCCCGTAGCTGGAGGTAAGCAGCAGATGCCCCTGGAGATGAGCAACACTCTGGGCCCACACGCTCTGGTGTCTGGTCAGGGAGTATTTTCTCAGGCGGATTTAGGAGATATTTTGCCTCATGCCTTGGATGTTTTGGTTCCTAGTATTCTGTTTTGAAACTGCATCATGCTGACAGGACACCTCCTTGTTATTTGTTTGTGTGTTTTCAGTACACCTTCATAAAATTTATACCCGTTTCACAATTTCACGAAGTAAGGGAAGGGCCTCCTTTGCTTCATGGGCTTGAGACACGCGTTGTGCTTTTTTTTTTTTTTTTTTTAAAGATTTTATTTATTTATTTATTTGACAGAGAGAGACACAGTGTGAGAGGGAACATAAGCAGGGGGAGTGGGAGAGGGAGAAGCAGGCTTCTCGCCGAACAGAGAGCCCAATGCGGGGCTCGATCCCAGGACCCTGGGGTCATGACCTGAGCCGAAGGCAGATGCTTAATGACTGAGCCACCCAGGCGCCCCACGAGTTGTGCTTTTGTCACCCACTGCCAAATAATGGGCGGGCCCTGGCAGACAGGTGGCTGCCTAGCACCCTGCCAGGAGAGTTTTGAAGAGAGGGAAGGGAGCCCTCCATGGCTCAGATCAGAACGCATTAAACATATAGAATGTGAATAACATGCTAATGAATAAAGAAAAAGAGAAGGAACTTCCAGGTCTCACTTCATTATATTCTCAGAGGCTGTCATGGGTCTGCCACGTGGCCCTTGGTGACAACAGTCCATGAGATTGGGGTCACAAGAGAGCCAGGTGCCTGGAATCCCTGTTGGAGAATTCACTAATTGGGAAAAGTGGGATTTGGGCCTCACCATCAGTTAGCCCGTGACAATTCTTAAGTGTTAATTAAAATAAAAATGAAGGTAGCACATTAAATATAGGATGTAAAAATTTTATCTTACACATCTTAAATAAATAAAAATGGATCCCATATGACTCAGATTCCGAGAACCATCCTGAGTCCATTGAAAATGTCTAGTCTCTCCTCCTCATCATCTGAGGGAGCTGCTTGTAAGTCCCATTTGCCTCATTGCAGATACATGATAATGAGGTTTCTCCTGTGCCTGACTGTCCATCCCATCCCTCTCTGGTTTTGGACTCAGGGTCCTGACTTCTGATTCCGGGGGCCTGCGGTGGCTTCAGAGATGTGGAGTAGCTTCAGTACCCAAGGCTTAGCAGATGCCCCTCGCTTGTCTTCCCTGCTGAAAGTGAAAGCCCAGATTGACCTGGGCTCAGCTTCCTCCTACCTGCAAATCTTCTCTCCAAAACCTCTAATCTTGCTTCCCTGTCAGCCTCACCTCCTTTCTGTCAATCCCCAGTGCCCTCTTTTTCTAATAAACTGAAACAGGAATCCCTCACAATTCACATAAAACTCTTGTAGTAGCTAAAAAAGAGTCGCAAAGCAATTGACAATATGCTGGGCTTACCTTACTTTGGGTGAAGAGAACTCAGAGGCGGGGAGATGGGTGTACTGAATCCCTTGCTTCTATGATAAAGAGATTTACAGTAAGGTGTTATCATGTGGCTTGACCTTGGCTGCATTGTACTTGCATAAATACATATGTGCATACAGGCAGTATTAGATTGAATCGCACAAAGTCACTGGAATAGAAAGTGGATTGATATGAAAGCAAGGGTCTCTTTATTCAGATTGTATCCTGGGGCCTTTAGTTGTAATCCAAAAAGCACCCTAAGTGTTAGCTGTTGTTCGGACAGTTCAGCTACTTTGCAGCCTGTTTCAAGGTGTGCTTGTATGTGGGGAAGCACTTTGTCATCAGTTCCATTTAGGGGCCCACACTGGGAATCCCAGCTTTTCTACATTGGAGGCATATGTGGATGGTACACATTGCTCAGATATTCAGTCTTTTGTCCTGACATGATTATTATATAAAATGTAGACCCTGATGTGCCAGAGGAAGCTCTTACCACTCACTCCTTTGTCTTTTCTTACCTTCCCTGAATGTGTGAGTAGATTTTAAGGATCTGTGGTTGGTTTCCCATTGTCCTGGTGTAACCTCATCGTGTGCACATCCTGTCCCCTTCCTCATTCACGTGAGTTCTCCATCACCCTGGCATGGCCTGAGCCAGTTTAGCTCCCAGGAGGTGTGGGGGTTGCCCCTGGCTTGACGGACCCCAAGCAAGCTGACCGCCATGATGCATAAAGAGAGAAAGAACTCTGCTAGTTAACCCTCATCGTTGCTGTCTTTGGTTTTCACCTCACAAAATGAAGGACTTGGACAATAGGATTTTTCATTATCTGATTCACTTTGTGCAGGTTGAGTCCATTAAGGAAGACTGTAACATTATTGTGGCAACCTGATTATTTTTAATTAATAACTTTTCCAAAAAAAATGAGTAAGAAGTTGTAATCTTTTCAAAAATACAGCCAAACATGCTGACAGTTGCATTTCTCCATCACATGGTAGACCAACCAGACTACCACTTCAATTTACTGAAAACAGAAAAGCCTCAGGGAAGTGACAAGATGTAGCTTTGTCCCCCCAAAATCTAGAGAATTGAGTCTTCTACAAAATATTATGTATCATGTATCTATTTCTCACTTCTCATCGAAGGTAACTAATATTGGCAGATACGACCCTGAACTTAATTCAGGAGAAATAGAGTGGGAGAATTATGAGTGTTGGTTCTCCAGAGAAATAAAATTTCCCTAGGATGTCACCCTCAACTCCTTCCCTGCAATGTGTGCTAGAACGCCATTCTGGAAACTTCTAGGCTTTCCTTTAATAAGTATTTGGTTAAGGCTAGAATGACTTTTTTTTTTTTTTCTGATTCTAAAAGTTTTCATCTATTATACATTCTGCCCTAGTTTCTCTTCATTTTGTTGTGCTTTTTCACTTATTTGTTGCCTTTCATGTGGAAAGTGAAGCCACAAGGCCTGGCTGGGTTCCTCCCACATGCCTTGTCTATGGGTTAGCAGAAGCTGCAGCCCAGAGTCGGGATACACGTGTTCTTCCAGCTCTGCCACTGTATCTTCTGTGGGGCCCGATTCTGTCCCTCGGCCTCACTGGGGGTTAATATCCTCTTCTGAGAATGAGAACACCCATCCATCTCTTGCCTCCCCCAAGGATGTAGGGAGGATTAAAGGCAACATTGAGGGGTGCCTGGGTGGCTCAGTCATTAAGCATCTGCCTTCGGCTCGGGTCATGATCCCAGGGTCCTGGGATCGAGCCCCACATCGGGCTCCCTGCTCAGCGG